GCCGCTGGGCTTCGTCGGTCGGGCCGTCGTCGGCTTCGTTCTCGTCGTTCGTGGTCGTTGTTGTCGTCGGTGGCGTCGAGACCTTTCCTGGTCCTGCTCTCCTCCCCCTCCCCCGACCAAGAACAAGACTGGCCGCGGTTGGCTGCGCCACAGGTTGCGCGTTCGGCCGGCGAGAGTTAAACGGCCTGCTCCTGGTTACGCCATCGGTGGCGCGCGCGGCCGCCGAGAACAGAACTGGCCGCGTGACGGGTGCGACCAGTCCAAGCAGCTCAACCGGTGCAGTGTACAGTCAACCTGCATAACAAGGATGGGCATCCTCCCCAAGGGTACCCTTACATCCTTGCCACTTCGGCCCATCCTTGGCCACTTTCCCTGGCCGCGCCCCGCTCGAGAAGCTTTGAAATGGCCCTCCAAAGCTCCTGCATCCCTGTCGTGCGTCCTCCTTATACGGGTTGACTGTCCCTCGCTAAAAACAAACCCAGAGATCCGATGTCGGGATTTGTTCAATACGGGGTCCCTGGAGGTCCCGACCCCTTCCCTGGCACTGGCTGTTCAGCCTGAGTCGTTTTTTGACGGTCCTGGGGCCCGGCAGGGCTCCCGAAAATAGCGAAAAATCCTCCCGTCGTGATTTCTTCACAGCGCGAGGAGATCTGGGCCGCGAGAAACAAGTGCGGGCCACGCCCGAAAAAGAAGGGCCACTTGGGAATTTGGGAGAGGGGCTCCGGCTTTCTCGGGCCGCTGCTCGGATGCAGGGTTCGCGCGTGCTCCGTCGTGGCCAGAAGCCCGCCGTCGCCAGAACAGCTCGAGTAGGGGATCGAGTGCAGAGTTGAGTTACAGTGGAGGCCCATGCCAAGAAACACCCTGCTTGCCTCCACGGGTGCCCTGGGTTTCTTAGGTTTCGATGGTTTTGTCATGGGGAGCGTGGCGTTTTCGCAAAAAAACATCAATGGACGTCCTGGTGTCTCAGGGTCGGGTTTCTTGTGGAAGGTTTCATGTGGACTGGCCTCCACTGCACCCCAGAATGAGTTTTCCCGCCGAACCGACGGAACAGATTTAGATCTCTCAGCTTGTACACGACATGTCTATTCACTCGTCGTAGATTCGACGTGGCAAGTCAATTCTGTAGTCGATCCCCGACTCGAGAAGCCTCTTCGTTTCTTCTTCAGCGCTTCGTGTGTCGAATAGAAGAGAGGACGGCATACGCGTGAACGTTCGAAGGTCCTCTCAGATTTATTGGATCTGCGCTGGATCCCAGCGGCTCCTCCGCGGGTGTCATGAGGCCAGGTCACCCGCGGGTTGCCAACGTAGAACATATGTTTGTTGGTGTCGATCTTAAGGATTCCCTCTGTTTCAGATATGAGGGAACATCCCTAAGGTTGTCATCGCCTTAGGCTTGCCGACCTTATGTTTAGGGATAAGATCGAGGCCGGTCAGCGGGGGCACGGGGCCTGCTGCGCACACCGCATCGCGGCCTGGGCTGGAGCAGCTGTCCAGAGCGGCTCGCGCGTATCCATATCCGGGCCCTCGCTGCTTGCACGGTGGGGCGCGATCCCGCGGATACGCGGGTGTACGGATGCGTTCCGCGCGGGGCATCCACGACAGAAGCGCCCTGCATCCGCTCGGTCGCGGCCCGGGGGCCCGGCCCGCGAGGCCGCGGAGAAACGGTTTTGTCGTTCGCCCACGAAGTTGCCTATATCTCCCAAAAAGGAGGGCGCCGCGGCGGCGCGAAGGTCGTCGCGCGCCGAACATCCCCTGGGCGTGAGGTGCGAAGTTCGATGACATGGTCGGACGCATGGGGGGGGTGGGGGTGGGGGTGGGGGGCAGCGGGGGGGTCCCAGACCTCCTCGCGTTGTGAGCAAATCACGACGGGCAGTTTTTGCTAGTTGTTCTCGGCCTCCGGGGGCCCTTTCCGGACCTCGGCACCGTCAAGCAACGACTCAGGACGAAAAACCGGTCCCGCGGGAGGGGTCCAGTCCAGACCTCTGGGGGTTGACGTCGTGAAAAAATCACGTCGTCGGGGGTCTGGTTCTGGGTTTAGTTGAAATCTACTGCGTGCAGCTGGTTTCGGCCCTGCCGCTGGGCGCCTTCCTCGACACAAGCAGCGCCTCCCGACGCCAGGGTGCCCCAGGGAAGCCAGCTGCGGGGGCTGATTCGCTGAACCTACCCTTGCTTCCCCCCCCCCCCCCTCTCGTCCGACCCGGTAGAGGCGGAGGGGACCTGGGACGGGAGGGTGTCTTGCAGCATCGCTGATGCACCGCGCAAATATGGGCCTCCTCCTGGCGGCGCACGCTCCCGCTTCGCCTCCCGCTCCACCTCCCCCCCTGCTCCCCTGCCCTCCTCCCTCCTCCTCCTCCTCCTCCTCCTCCTCCTCCTCCTTTTCGTCCCTCCTCCTCCTTTTCGTCCCTCCTCTTCCTGCTCCTCCTCCTCCTCCTCCTCCTCCTCCTCCTCTTGGGACGGCAGGGCGCTCGCCACGGAACAGGCGCTTTCCGAGGGAAACGTGTGACTCCCTGGGTTTTCTGCCTCTTTCGGGCCCCGGGGGGCGGGCCACTGCTTAACGGGCGAAGAACGGTATAAAGTAAACTGTTTTTCGCTGTCGGGGGCGCCTGTCCCAGGGCGGACGGAAAGTTTACACCGTGACGAGCCACCAGGAGGGTATGAATTTTCCAGCCGCCCTGGGAGAGGCGCCCCCCACAGCGAAACAGTTTACCTATACGACCACCCTTCGGGCGATAAGGAGATTGTGGGGGAGGAGAGGGGGGGTAACCAACATCTGACTCAATCGATCTCACTGTCCATCTCACCCAACGGGACACCACGGGACACTGATCGATCTCACTATCGATCTCATTATCGGTCTCACTCAACGGGACACCACGGGACACCACGGGCCACCACGGGACACCGCGGGACACCTCTCGATCTCATTATCGGTCTCATTATCGGTCTCATTATCGATCTCACTCAACGGGACACCATAGGACACCACGGGGCACCACGGGACACCTCGGGACACCACATCACATCGATCTCACGATCGATCTCACTATCGATCTCATTCAACGGGACACCACGGGACACCTGTCGATCTCACTATCGATTTCGCTTTTTGGGACACCACGGGACACCTCGGGGTACCACATCGATCTTAGTATCGACCTCACTATCGATCTCACTATCGATCTCACTCAACGGGACACCATGGGACACCGCGGGACACCGCTCGGGCCACCGCCGGACGGACGGACGGACAGACGGACGGGGGAGCAACATTTGGGTTGACTTCGCCCCAGCAACGGCGGGTTCATCCTCTCGCGCGCCCACGCAGCTTCGCCTCGCCCGCACGCGCGACACGAACGAAACGGAACGATTTTTCCGTTCGGGGGTCTCCGATCTACTGCGGTCTCACCCCCCGACCTCCGATGTCGTACCGTTCTTCGCCCGCTGAGCTGCCGCGAACCCCTTCGGGTGCGCCGCGTGGCTCTCGGAGTGCCCGCCGCGTGCTCTCTCGCCCTGCCCGCGGCACCAGGCGCCCGCCGGGGCCGGGGCGGAGGCCGGCACGGCCTGGGACTGCCCGGGCTGCGGGCTGCAGAACGAGGGGGGCGCGGGCCGGTGCGTGCTGTGCAGCGCTGAGCGGGAGGCGGCCAGCGGCCGTCGTCGTCGTCGTCGTCGTCGTCGTCGTCGTCGTCGTCGTCGTCGTCGTCGTCGTCGGCTACGGCTACGGCTTCGGCTACGGCTTCGGCTGGCCGCCGTCTCCGAGCGGAGGGGGGATACAGCTTGCGTCCCAGGTCTTGGCCAAGTGCCGCCGGGTGCCGGCTCCTTCGGTTGGGCGGGGGGGCCCCAGAGATCCGATGTCGCAACTTTTCCCAACCATCCTGTGGTGTTGGGTCCTCGTTTTGAAGAGAGCGCCCCGCGTTCCTTCCTTCCTCCTCCCACTCCCCCTCCCCCTCCCCCTCCCCCTCCTCCTCCTCCTCCTCCTCCTCCTCCTCCTCCTCCTCCTTCCGCCCTCCTCCCCTCCCTGCGTCTGCTCTCCGCATGCCCATCCCGTTTCGGCACACACACACACATCACACGTTTCGTGGCCCCATGGGGAGCTCAACCTGAGGCCCCCATAGGAGAAAAGTTCGCATGGCACCGCCGCCCTATTTCGGCACACCCCTCATACGTTTCGTGGCCCCATAGAGAGCTACACCGAAGGCCCAAGTGGGAAAGTTCGCATGGCACCGCCGCCCCATGTTGGCACACCCCTCACACGTTTCGTGGCCCCATAGGGATCTCCGCCAAAGGCCCCGTGGGCAGGTTCGCATGGCACCGCCGCCCCATTTCAGCACACCCTCACACGTTTCGTGGCCCCATAGGGGATTCCACCGAAGGCCCCCGTTGGAAAGTTCGCATGGCACCCCCGCCCCGTTTCGGCACACCCCTCGCATATTGAGTGGCCCCATAAGGAGCCCCACCTAAGGCCCCAGTGGGCAAGTTCGCATGGCACCGCCGCCCCATTTCAGCACACCCCTCACACGTTTCGTGGCCCCATAGGGAGCTACACCTAAAGCCCCAGTAGGAGAGTTCGTATGGCACCGCCGCTCATTTCGGCACGCCCCTCACACGTTTCGCGGCCCCATAGAGAGCTACGCCGAAGGCCCCAGTGGGAAAGTTCGCATGGCACCGCCGCCCCATGTCGGCACACCCCTGACAAGTTTCGTGGCCCCATAGGGATCTCCGCCAAAGGCCCCGTGGGCAGGTTCGCATGGCAACGCCGCCCCATTTCAGCACACCCCTCGCACGTTTCGTGGCCCGTAGGTGATTCCACCGAAGGCCCCCGTTGGAAAGTTCGCATGGCACCCCCGCCCCGTTTCGGCACACCCCTCGCATATTGAGTGGCCCCATAAGGAGCCCCACCTAAGGCCCCAGTAGGGAAGTTCGCATGGCACCGCCGCCCCATTTCGGCACACCCCTCATACGTTTCGTGGCCCCATAGGACGCCCCACTTAAAGCCCCAGTGGGAGAGTTCGCATGGCACCGCCGCTCATCCTGGCACGCCCCATGGAGAGATACACCGAAGGCCCCAGTGGGAAAGTTCGCATGGCACCGCCGCCCCATGTTGGCACACCCCTCACAAGTTTCGTGGCCCCACAGAGAGCTCCGCCGAAGGCCTCAGTGGGACAGTTTGAATGGCACCGCCGCTACATTTCGGCACACCCCTCGCACGTTTTGTGGCCCCGTGGCACCGCCGCCCCATTGCGGCACACCCCTCGCATATTGAGTGGCCCCATAAGCAGCCCCACCTAAGGCCCCAGTGGGCAAGTTCGCATGGCACCGGCACCCCATTTCGGCACACCCCTCACACGTTTCGTGGCCCCATGGGGAGCCCCACATAAAGTCCCAGTGGGAGAGTTCGCATGGCACCGCCGCTCATTTCGGCACGCCCCTCATACGTTTCGTGGCCCCGTAGAGAGCCATACCGAAGGCCCCAGTGGGAAAGTTCGCATGGCACCGTTGCCCAACTTGGCACACCCCTTACACGCTTCGTGGCCCCATAGGGAGTTCCACCGAAGGCCCCAGTGGGGAAGCTCGCATGGCACCGCCGCCCAAATCTGACACACCCTTGACCGTGGGCCTACAGGGAGCTCCGCCGTTGCAAATGGTTGGGTCTTTCGTCGGGCTAACTCAATACGGGCTCCCCCGAAGTCTCGACAAATTCCCGAGGACCGGTTTTTCATCCTGAGTCGTTGTTTGACGGTCCTGGGGCCCGGCGAGGTGCCCTAGAGGCTGACGATTGCGAAAAACCTCCGTCTTGATTTTTCAATACGTTGGATCTCTTGGACTCTGCGTCCATCAGTTTTTTTTGGGGGGGACGCGAGGGGAAGGGTAGTGAAGCACCTCCTCGCGTCGTTCGCTTCCAGACGTTGTCGAACGTTCGCGTCGATTCTTGCAGGTCTGCCCTGCCCGCCTCCAGACGCATTCTCCTAGCAGCCGATTCTCGTCGGGAGCGCCCTGGTGGTGCCGGGATCGTCCGAAAGCCTGCTTCCCCCGCGTCGAGAAACGGTCAGAACTGATGGTGTCGGGCACTTGTCTCTATCGAGCAGTTTCTGTTAACGAGCTGTTTCTCCCTGTTTTCGGGCCCTGGGTCCCCAGACTGGGCAGGGCGGGAGTTGGAGCAAGTCGGAAGACGACGACTACAGCCTCAGAAATCGATCGAGAGCCTCTCTTTCTTTACCACTCCCCCTCTCTTCTCTTTCAGTCCCCCTCCCTCCTCTCTCTCTCCCTCCCTCCCTCACTTCCTCGCTCTCTCGTCCCCCCCCCTCTCTCTACCTCGCTTTCTCTATCTGTCTCTCTCTCTCTCTCTCTCTCTCCCTCTCGTTCCCCCCTCTCTCTCTCTTTCCCTCTCTTTCTCTCTCCCTCTCCCTCTTTTCCGTTTTCTAGACGCTTCGCGGAACCCGACGAGCCTATCCAGACATGATACAGAGACGAGTTGCCCTAATGAGCGATGTAAAGGAGCAATACGCCGTACCACAAGAAAGACAACAAAATGGAAACATCAAAAGAGGAGGAGGAGGAGTAGGCTAAGGGGGAGGGGGAGGAGGAAGGAGGGGAGAAGAAGGAGGAGAAATCGGCGGATGAGGAGTAGGATGAGGATGAGGAGGAGGAGGAGGAGGAGGAGGAGGAGGAGGAGGAGGAGGAGGAGAAGGAAGAGGAGGGCGTTCAGAAAGGCCAGAGACCTCTTGAATGCCCCTCGGAGTCTCTTCGGATGTCTCTCGCGAGCTTCTTGCAGTCCTCTTGGGGCGTTTTCGGGGCCTCGTGGCAGTCCGAGGGGCCTCTTGAAGCGTATTGGGTGCCTCAGGGGAGCCTCTTCGGCCTTCTTGGGGGTCTTTTCGAGGCTCTTGGGGGCCTCCTGGGGCTTGCTGGGCGCCTCTTGGGGCCCTCCTTGGGCCCTCTTGGGGGCCTGGGGGGTGGCCATCTTGGGGCTATCTACGTAGGAGGAGTTCGATCAGAGAAGGGGGCGTACTTAAGCACTGTTGCCCCCCCCCCAGGGAGCCAACATGTAGCCAAAACCGTGGTATAACCAGTGATGTGTGCCTTCTCGCCGAGGCCACTGTGCACGCTCTAGGTAACCCCTCGCGCCCCCCCCCCCAGAAGCTGGTTGGAAGACGGAGCTCTCGAAACCATCCCCATCCGAAAGGGCTGGTGGGAGTCTTAACCTCTCTCCCCAGACTCTGTGCGAGCGGGGCTCCTGTGTTCTCCCGCGTGCGGTGGTTGGCGCACATCGTGGTTCGAACGTTGTTTGTTGTCATCTGTTGCTGTTCGGTCGAAACGCCTTCTTCCCCCCCAAATAGTGCTCCCAGTGCGGCTTGAGCCTCATTCCAGGATCGGCGGCTCTCTCCCGTCATTACGGAAGGCGCTATCGCCCCAGCGCGGGCTATCTTGCTGAATCCGATTCCTTTCTCGTCGGTGTCGCCTCCCTCCTTTCCCCTCTCCCGCCTTCTCCAGGGTCCTCCTGTTCCTCCCGCTCCTTCTGCTCCTGCCCCTGCTGCTGCTGCTCCTCCACTTGTTATTAGTGTGTTTATTATTGTGTTTAAGAGTAGTCGTAGTAGTAGTAGTAGTAGTAGTAGTAGTAGCAGTAGTAGTAGTGCTCGTGCTAGTGCTAGTGCTAGTAGTAGTAGTAGTAGTAGTAGTAGTAGTAGTAGTAGTAGTAGTAGTAGTAGTAGTAGTAGTAGTAGTAGCAACAGTAGTGGTCGTAGTCGTAGTCGTAGTCGTAGTGGTAGCAGTAGCAGTAGTAGTAGTAGCAGCAGCAGCAGCAGTAGTAGTAGTAGTAGTAGTATTAAACATTGTAGTAGTAGTAGTAGTAGCAGTAGTAGTAATAGTAGTAGTAGTAGTAGTAGTAGTAGTCGTAGTAGTAGTAGTAGTAGTAGTAGTAGTAGCAGTAGTAGTAGTAGTAGTAGTAGTAGCAGTAGTAGTAGTAGTCGTAGTCGTAGTAATAGTAGCAGAGGCAGTAGTAGTAGTAGTAATATTAGTAGTAGTAGTCGTCGCAGCAGCAGCAGCAGCAGCAGCAGTAGTAGTAGTAGTAGTAGTAGGAGTAGTAGTAGTAGTAGTTTCAGTCGTAGTCGTAGTCGTAGTCGTAGTCGTAGTAGTGGTGGTAGTAGTAGTAGTAGTAGTAGTAGTCGTAGTATCAGTAGTAGTAGTAGTAGTAGTAGTAGTAGTAGTAGCAGTAGTAGTAGTAGCAGCAGTAGCAGCAATCGTTTTATTATTATTGTTATTCGTATTATTATTATTATTAGTAGTAGTAGTAGTAGTGGCAGTAGTAGTAGTAGTAGTAGTAGTAGTAGTAGTAGTAGCAGCAGCAGCAGCAGCAGCAGTAGTAGTAGTAGTAGTAGTAGTCGTATCAGTACTGAGATTATGCTTAGTACTATTAGTAGTAATAGTAGTATAAGTATTACTAGTATGTGCATCCTTCCTTGTTTATCAGTGTTCTTAATATTACTAGTATTAGTATGTTCATTGCGAGTGTTCCTCCTCCTCCTCCTCCTACTCCTCCTCCTCCTTCCTTCGCGCCTCTTCACTCCTCTTACTCCTGCTCGTCCTCTTGTTCCTCCTGGCCAACCTTGTGCTCATCCGCCACCTCCCCAGCCTCTTCTAATGTACGCAGGTCCCCTCCTTGATTACGCACGAAAGCGATGGGGTCGTGCTCGCCTTTGTTATCAAAAAAGGGCTTCAGTGCAGAACATGTGCTTCAGTTCTTGTGGTAGGGGCCTCTGGGGGCACAGAGGCTGCCGCCGTTCGCCCCCTCCTCATGTTCGTGCCCCTCCCCATTCCTCCTGTGTCCTCCTCGTGCTTGCCGCGCTCCGCGGTTTTGGTGGCAGCGCGAGTCGCTCCCGATGCTTGGGTCAGGGGCTCCCCATCCTTCCTCCTGTGTCCTCCTGGTGCTGGCCGCGCTTCGCGATTCTGGTGGCAGCGTGCGCTGCTCCCGATGCCTGGGTCGGGGGGGGGTTCTGTGCCCGCAGGCCCGCAGAGGCATTTTCGTTGCGACTGCCGCAGATTATCACAGCAGTTCCTGTCCATGCTGAACAGGACCAGCTGCCCGCGTTGCCGCGGACATTGTTCGCTTGAGTTGCGGAGGACGATCATTGGAGAGAGAGAGAGAGAGCATGTTGACAAATGATGTCCTTAAACATGTTTTAGACATGTGATAACATGTCTAAGACATGTTTAGATCATTTTCCTACATGTTCAACACACTTAAATGATAGGACTGTTAGGGTGTCCATTGTCGTGGCATCCACAACTTGTCGTTGTGACTGCAGTAGATTATCACAGCAGTTCATGCAAATGCTGAACAGGACCCGTTGCCCGCGTTGCCGCGGACATTGTTCGCTCGAGGCACTTGCCGCTGAGCTCTACTTCCTCGGCGAGTTGCTCGTGATAGCATGCACTTCGCTTCTGTGTAGATCGGCGAATCCAATACGCTGCTCGCTCTGCGCCTGCAGCCTGCTGCTTGCGCTACTTTTGTTGTGGGGAGATGTGGTTGTTGCCTGCAGTGGTCTCGCCATCTTTTCCGGTGCATCGCCGCTTCGTCATCTAATGGTTTTCGACCCATCCCGCCACCGTGCTTGGATTATGGGTCCGAGTCCCCAGGAATGCTTCTTGGGTCCTCTTCGGAACTTTGGGGCCTCTGGGGGACAGTTTTTGGGCCTCTTGGGGGGCTCTTGGGAGCCTCTTGGGGGCCTCTTGGGGGCCTCTTGGGGGCCTCTTCGGGGCCTCTGGGGGGCCTCTTGGGGCCTCTTGGGGGCCGCCTCTTGGGGTCGCCTGAGGGCACCTCCTGGTCCAGGGCTTGAAATGTCTGTTCGGGCCCACCGTCTGGTCCCCCTCTCGGAGCCGTCCTGGGGGCCTCTAAAACGTCTTGAGGCCCTCTTTGACCGTTTTTGGGTTCGCCTGGAGGCTCCTTGGGCCGTCTTGGGGCGGTGTCGGGGGCCTCTTGGGCCGTCTAGGAGCGTCGGGAGGTCGAAGAGTCGGGGACCCCAAACTCACAGAGAAACCTATGGGAAGTCGATGATTGCGGCGCCCTCTCGGGAGTCCTCTTGGGGCTCCCTTGGGGCGGCTCGGAGGCCTCTTGGGCCTTCTTGGGGCCATCTTAAGCGTATTGGTGCGATCTTGGGGCGTCTCGGGGCCCTCTTGGGCTGCTTGTGGGCTTTTTGGGGCCCTCTTGACCCGTCTTGGGGCCCCCCTGGGTCCGAGGAAGCCAAGGAGATGTATGGATTTGGGGCCTGGGCCCCTTTCAGATTTCTCAGGCGTGAGGATTGAGGCTTAGAGGATTTGCAGGCGAAGGATCTGAGGGCACACCATCTCCGTACCCAGCGGCACGGTGGCGGGGCTCAACCATGCTCTCGCACGCAGCCTCGGCCATGTACGCATCGTTGGGATCGACAAGTTTGTCGCCGTCATTGGGTCGAGGTTGAGCTGTTTGTTGCAGGGGTGCCGTGGCCACGGTTGCAACTTGTAGGGCGTGCCGCTGTGCTCGTCATGTTCCTTCCTCATCCTCCTTGTCTTACTGCTCGTCCTCCTGTTCATTCGCTGCCTCCTCCTTCAATGCACGCAGCTCCCCTCTTCCGATTGCGCATGGCACGATGGGCTCTGTTTTGGAACTGCGGGTTCTCTATGACACGCGTCTGCGGATGGAGACGTGATCAGCGCAATGAGAAGGGAGGGGTGGGAGGGATAGGATTTCGGATATGGCGCGGGCGCACCTAGCTTGCCCCCCATACACCCTCGCCCCTCCTCCATTCCTCTTCCCTACCCCCCGCCCCTATTCTTCTCGCTCCACTCCACGACTACACAATCTGTGAATACTACCCCCCTCTCTCCCCCGACTATGTGTAGAGAAGTCCTGAGAGTAGCCGCCCCCCCCTCCGCGTACTGGTTGCTTACGCATGGTTTGCGCGGACGAGTTGTTTTGTTCTGCTGTGTTTTCTCAATTCGATCGGATGTGCTCCTTCCAAAACGGTGTTCTCGCTGCAGCATGGGTCTCATGTTCAAATCTGCGCTGTGCTCCTGTCTTTCAGAATGGCGCTCCCGCCCCAGCGTGGGCCAGTTCTCCGGATCCCACAGGCTTCGCATGTCCCACGGGTCTCGCAGGTCTCGCAGGCCCCATAGGTCCCACAGGTCCCACAGGTCCCACAAGACCCACAAGTGTTGCAGGTCGTTCCACAGGATCCACACGTACAGTCAAGCATCCTTGCCTCCTCGGTCTATCCTTGGCCACTTTCATTTGCCGCGCCCCGCTCGAAAAGCCTCGAAATGGGCGTCCAAGGCCCGTGCATCCTCATCGCCCATCCTTGTGATACGAGCCGACTGTACCACCGGTCTGACAGGTTTCACAGGTCCAGCAGTTCCCACAGGTGCCGCAGGTATCGCATGCCCCACAAGTTCGACAGGTCCCGCAGATCTCACGGGTCCCAGAGGTGTCGCATGTCTCAACGGGGCCCGCAGACGCCCCCCCAGTCCCACAGGTCCCGCAGGTCCCGCCGGCGCCACGTGTCCCACAGGTTTCGCAGGTCTCACAGTTTGTTTCTACAGGTCCCACATGTCCAAAAGGTCCCACAGCTCTCACAAGTCCCACAGTTACCACAGGTCCCACAGGTCCCACAGGTCCCACGGGTATCGCAGGGTTCACAGGCTCGACAGGCCACGCAGGCCCTCCAGGTCGCACGGGTCCCACGAGTTTTTTGTTCCGACTGCGCAGGAAGACTATGGGGTCTTTGTGGAGTTCCAGGTCGGCTATGACACGCGTCCGCGGGTAGAGAAAAAATCAGCACAATGGGAACGGATGGGTGGGAGGAGTAGGATCGCAGGTATGGCGCGAGCGCACCTAGCTTGCCTCCTCCCCCCTCGCCCTTCCCCTCCCTCCCCCTTCCCCCAGCCCCTCCCCCCACCTCCCCCCGAAAGCACAAAGGGAGAGAGAGAGGGAGGGAGGGAGAGAGTGAGCGAGAGAGAGATAGAGAGAGAGTGAGCAGGAAAGCAGGAGAGAGAACCGAATAACAACCACCAACAGATAAAGACGTCCCCTCACCCCCTCCCCAGGCGTGCCGAGCGGCGGGGCCGGCCACGCCACACGCTCGGGGAGCGTTCTGACCCCTGAGCAGCCCGCTCCGTCCTTGTTTTCCTTCGGCCGCGTCCTTCCTCCCTCCTCCTTCCTCCATGGTGGCACAAAATTCGCTCCCACGGAACCCCGCTTAAGCCTCTCATCGCCACCGCAGTCACCCTCGGCCTAGCCGCCGACGCAACAAAAATCACCCGCTCCCCGCCTTCAGCGGCCCCCTCCCCCCCGACCGCCGACCTTCAGGCGCCCGCCGCGGCCGACGCGGACGAGGGCGAGGGCCAGGGCGTCGGGGCGGTGTACGAGGCGGACCCCCCCTTCGGTGCGTGGCCCTCTCGCGGCTCGGGCGCGCGCGGGCCCCACTGCTCTGCTTCATCCTGCTCCTCGTCCTCCTCGGCCCTCGTCCTCCTCCTCGATCCTTCCGCTCGGTCCTTCTTTCGCCTCCTCCGCCTCGATCCTCCTCCTCCTCCTCCTCCTCCTCCTCCTCCTCCTCGATCCCCCTCCTCCTTCTCGATCCCCCTCCTCCCCCTCGATCAAGGAGGTGCGCCGGCCCGACGTAGGACTGACCCTTCGCCGGAGTGGCCCTTGGTGCGGGCACACCAGGGACTTGGCGGAACGCGATGCGGTAGCAGCGGCTTCGGTGCTCGGGTTTGGCCCCCCCGCGCCCCCCGAAAGTCGCGCACCAGAGGCCGCCCTATGCCCGGGGCCACTCGTGGCGTGTAGCCGAGGGGGCAGGATTCAGCGGCGAGCCCGGGGGGAAGTGAGAAAGGGCGGGCATCTTCAGAAGGTTCGGGAGTCCCCCAGGGCTTCTGAGAAGTTGTCTGAGCCTTCCCCGAAGTCACAGAAAGCCCCTCAGAAGGCCGGACGCCTTGTGATAAGTCCCGCCACCTTCTGAGAAGGCCCGCCCCTTCTCACTTCCCCCCGGGCTCGCCGCCGAAGCACGGCCAAGACACTGAGATGAGGACCGCTCTGTCCCTGAGGGCTTGGCGACTCTTCGCCAATCGACTTGTGGGGATCGAGCCAGGCAAATCCAGGGAAGTACAGCTAAATCGTGGTACAAGTCCATGCAAATCTGTGCAAAGTCAAGCACATTCAGAGAATACATTTAGAGATCTCAAGGGAAAGCTGGCGCAAGTCGCGGACGCTCCAGCGCGAGTCTAGGGACGTCAGAAGTCGTCAAGCCCCGTAACGACTCTGGGCCCTTGGGCTTTGTGGGGCTCCCGCGGTCGGGCAGCGCCTTTCTCGGGCCACTGGGGCGTGGGGCGCCATTCGCGGTGCGCAGAGTCGCCGCGGCAAGAAGGGCCCCCCTTCTCCTCCTCCTCCTCCCTCCTCCTCCTCCTCCTCCTCCTCCTCCTCCTCCTCCTCCTCCTTCCTCCTCTCTCCTCCTCCTCCTCCTCCTCCTCCTCCTTCCTCCTCCTCCTCCCTCCTCCTCCTCACTCCTCTTCTTCTTCCTCCTCCTCCTCCTCCTCCTCCTCCTTCCTCCTCCTCCTCCTCCCCCCTCCGCGGCTTGTCTGCGGCGTCCCCCGCGGCAGCACGATGGCTGCGCCGCTGCTCGTCCTTCAGGTGGACCCAACAGGGGGTCCAGCGACAAGGCGGTGGTGAATCGATTTGGCGCAATCGCTTTGTCGGGTTGCAGTAGAGTTGGGGCGTGCGATACATTCAGGTGTGCAAATGTGTTGCTGGGCTTCTCGCGTGCAACGCAGTGGTTGCAATCCAATGCCATACAAATGTCTCTCGCAGTGGATTTGCAGTACAATTACCCCTGACCTATTGCACCACCCCCTTTCAGCTGGACCCCCTCTTGGGTCAACCAAAGTCTTGGAGTCGAGGAACCAAGAAAACGCCAGGACCGTAAATGTTGGGAGGTCCGCGCGGATTTCTTGCATTGGCGCTGCTGGGCCCCCCTCCCTGGCGGGGCCCTGATGCAGACTCGACGCGGATTCGACGTGGATTCGACACGGATTCGACGAGTCCGACATGGATTCGACACGGATTCGGCGCGGATAGGGCCGCGACGGGACAGACAAGATCCCTCGGGGATGCAACGTAAGAGCCCACGAAGGGCGCAGGCGGTGGCACTCCGCAGCGTGCCGTAGAATTCGTTTTTTGCTACCCTCTGCGCCATAACGCGCGTTATGCTCCCCACTCTTCCCCCCACCTCCTCCCCCCCTTAACGTGACGCTCCACCCCCCACCCCAGGTGCGTCCCCGGCACTGCCGCAGTGAGTCCGGCTTCAAAGTCTGTGGCATTGAACCCACACAGCGGGGAGGAGGCATTACGTTATACCCCCCCGCACCCCCCATCCTCCCCATCACGCCCGTTAGCGCCGCGAAAAAACGATGCTCTCATACACGCTCGCGCCACGAACCTAGGAAACAACACGCGCGTCGAAAGGAGAAGACGGATACTGCGCTTCGCGCGCCCATGCTGGAAGATGAAAGGATCCACTGCCGCGGGGATCGGCGCCGATTGTTAACTTGCGTTGCCGTCGGCCTGGTACCACCATCGAGGTAACCCAAACACCGACTTTTTTTTGTTTTCAACGTCGACCCCCAGAGGTCTGGACCCCGTCCCCAGGACCGTCTTTGCATCCTGAGTCGTTTTTTGAAGGTCCCGAGGCCTGGTAAGGGACCCCAGAAGTCGAAGATGAGGGGAAACCGTCCGTCGCGATTCCTGTCGGAACCAGTGCCAAAGGATGGCAGGTTCTGCCTAAGGATGGCAAAGGATGGCAGGTTCTGCCACGAGGGGGCCTGGAACCAGTGCCAACGGATGGCAGGTTCTGGCCCAAGGCGGAAGGCCTCCCGCCCCCGCGGCCGCCCCCGCGGGCAGCGGGCCGCACCACCATGGCCTCCGACGGCCCCGCGGCCGCCCCGCCGCCGCAGCAGCCCGCGCCCGCTCCCGCGGGCGAGCCGACGGCGGCGCCGGCCGCCGCGGGCGCGCCAGCGGAGGCTCGCCGAGCGCGTTAGGCTGCTCGCAGAGTGCCGATCCTCGGGCCGGACGAGAGGGGGGGGGATCGGGCAAGGGGGGTTACGAGATTTGCTGCATGCAGCCGGTTTCGGCCCCACCGAGGGGCCCATGCCTCGGCACATGGCCGCCTCCGGCGCCGGGAGGCGCCGGGAAAGTCAGCTACGCGAGCCGGTTCTCAAACCCCCACTTTGCTATCCCCCCCTTTCGCCCGGCCCGAGATTCGCCAGCGTCAGAAACAGAAAGCGCAAGTTCGCCTGCGATGTCATGGACCGTGGATCCCTCGCGGCGGAGCCAGGCCGTCTGCGAGCAGTTACTCTGCGAGCAGGGGAACGCGCTTGTCGCCTTCGGGCCTCGGGACGCTCTCGAGTTCGAGGGGAAGGAGGGGAAGGAGGAGGGGAAGGAGGGGAAGGAAGGGAAGGAGGGGAAGGAGGAGGGGAAGGAAGGGAAGCAGGGGAAGGAGGGGAAGGAGGGGAAGGGGGAGGGGAAGGCGGGGAAGGAGGGGAATGAGGGTAAGGAGGAGGGAAAGGAGGGGAAGGAGGAGGCGAAGGAGGGGAAGGAAGGGAAGGAAGGGAAGGAGGGGAAGGAGGACGGGAAGGAAGGAAGGAAGGAAGGGAAGCGGCAGAGGCGGCGGCAGCCGCGGGCGAGCCAGCGGAGGCGGCGGCTGCCGTCGCGGGCGCGGGCTCGGCGGCTGCCGCCGCGGGCGAGCCAGCAGAGGCGGCGGCAGCGGCGGGGCCTGCCGCGGCCAGCGGGGCCGAGGAGAAGGCGCCCCCGCCTGCCAGGAGCCGAAGAATAAGATGATGAACAAGAAAAGTAATACTAATAATAAGAAGGAGAAGAGGAAAGAAGAGGAATAATCGAAGAAGGCACAACGCTATTATCATAAACTTTTGGCGCTCCGCGCGGATTTCTCGGATTCGCGCTGGGCCCCCTCGGGCGGCGCCTCCGGCGCCGCCCCTGGCGCGCTCCGCGCGCCAAGGATGGTTGTCCAGCGCGGTCCAAGAAATTCGAAAGGAGCGCCACAAGTGCATGTTTATGCCGTATCTTCTTATTCTAAAGACGAACATCGATGGCGCGCAGAGGGGGAGGGGGAAGGGAGAAGGCTTCTTAGGAGGAGGCTGCTTCTTAGAAGGCGCAGGCCTTACATCTAGAGAGAAGGCCCGCGCCTTCTGAGAAGCAGGGGTGCTTCTATGAAGTCTTCTCCCTTTCCCCTCGCACCCGTCTGCGCGTGGCCGAGAAGAGGAGGAAGAGGAAGAGGATTGGGGGGTCATAGAGGGGGGGGGGGTCCCACGGTGGGGGTTGGGGGGCGAACCGAGATGGATGCTCACATTTCCTCCCTCCAAGGGCCGTCAGGAGCAGTTTTCCTTCCAACCCACCTCTGCGCCTACAGTCGGGGCGCTGAAGAAGGACCCTTTTCCGTTGGGGAGGGGCTCCGTGCTCCTTGTTTGTTTCGCAGCTTGCCCTAGGTTTCCCTCAGGTTTTCGACGGGAAATCGAAGTTCAACTCATGGAATAGAAAAGGGGCGGCGCTTCTTCTTTAGGGTTCCACAGGTCAACACCTCGACTGTGCCCCACCTCTACGCCCCCACGCGAGGAAGCAGGGGCGCCCTCGAGGGCGCGAAGTTATTCGCGCTTCGCGGTTCGGCTCCGATTCCTCCTCATCCTCCTCTTCTCCCCTGGGAGGCGGCGCGAGAGCGCGCAGTTATTCGCACTTCGCGCAGCGCGAAGCGCGAAGTTGGGAGCCCTTGAGGAAGAGGCGCAAGGAGACGAGGCTGCACAAGCGCGGACGTTCGACAGCCTGCGCGGGCGGGGGGTCTGGCGCCGATCCAGGGAGCCCTGTGCGCACCGCCATCCCTGGCGCGCGGAGCGCGCCGGGGGCGGCCCCGCGCCGTTCCACCAGCTCCGCGCGGGGCTCCGACGGTGGATGTTCGTGCTTCTTCTGCTCTCGGGCGAAGAGAACTATGCACATGCACCGATCTTGGCCTGGCTCATCCTGGGCCCAGGATCGGTGCATATGCCCTCCTGGCCACGGCAGGATGGCGTATGCACCGATCCTGGGCTCAGGGTGGGCCTGGCCAGAATCGGTGTTTGTGCATAGTTCTCGTTCCTCTATGCTCGTTACCTTTCACGCGCTCGCCGTCTCTCGGGCCACGGTTCGCCTCACGAGGCCGCCTGTCGGACGTCGGCTCGTGGGTCGCCCCCGGTCTGCCTGGCGGCCCTTTGAAGCGCATGGCAGCTGCGAGTGCGCGGCGTGGAGTTCACTTGCGTGTACGGGCCACGCGCAGAGGGGGCAGGTGAGGGAGGAAGGGTTCTTAGAAGCACCCCTGCTTCTTAGAAGGCGCGGGCCTGCTCTTTAGATGTCAGGCCGGCGCCTTCTCAGAAGCAGCCTCCTTCTGAGCAGCCTCCCCCCCTCCCCTTACCCCCCCTGTGCGCGCCGCCAGATGTATGGGAGTGTGGGAGCACATGGAGGAACAACCGCACAGACATAAACTGTTGGAGCTCCGATCGGAGTTCTTGGATCCGCGCTGGGCCCCCCCTCCCCGGGCGCGCGGAGCGCGCCAGGGGCGGCGCCAGGGGCGCCGCCGTTGGGGCCCAGCGCAGGTCCAAGAACTCCCCGCGGAGCTCCAGAGAAGCTCGTGCTCGTGCGGCTCGTCCGTCCTCCGGGGCATGCTCGCGCCGCTTCGCGCCCCCGCCCCCCTCAGGAAGGAGCGCTTCCCCAGCCTGCTGGCCGAGCTGGGCCTGCGGGCGACGCCGCGGGGCCTGCTGCTGCCCGAGTGGCGCAAGGCCTTCCTGCAGCGGCGGCGCGCCGAGCGGGAGCAGGCGGCGCTGGCCGGGGAGCCCGCGGGCCAGCTCGCGGTGAAGGACCCGAGCGCTCGGTTGCCTCGATACGCCCGTTCTGAAGCGCAGCACGTCCCGTGTTCCAGACGGCCGTGTCAACACGTGGCGTGGTGGCGCCACGTGTTGGACCACGTGTTGGCGAATGCACCGCGTCGGACCCACGCTTTCAGCCTCTACGTGCCGAGCTGCGTATCAACACGCTACGTGTTGAGTGCTGCGTATCGGTGCAACTAAGCCCGAGCGTTTTCTTCGGGTGAGGGGCAGAAGGGTGAGATCCGAAGTGCCGTTTCGATGGACTTCTCGGGGCTTGGATCTGCAAAAGGTAAGGCACAAGACGGACTGATTTTCGAGATGCAAAAGCCCACATGGATTTCACCTTGAGCCCTCCATCCTAGGAAAATGCTCAGAGGACGCTTCCGACGCGCCGAGGAGTCATGGGCGAAAAGCAGATTGGAGGCTTAAACTCGCTGCTCTTTTTGGAGGCCTTCCCGAGGCCCACCGAACGAATCTGTTCGACTCCAGTTCGACACCAGTTCGACTCAAGTTCGAATCAGGTTCGACTCAGGTTCAACTCAGGTTCGACTCAAGGTCGGCTCAAACCGACAGACGTTCAACGCAGCCTCGACGCACGAGTGGGGCGAATGTCTTCAGGAAGGTCCCCAGAATGAGCATCCAATTAAAAAATGGGCACCAACAGCAGACGTAGTGTGTGGTGTGTGTGTGTGTGCTTGTGTGTTTGTGTTGTGCACCAGGTCCTAGATGTTAATGTTGGTGGTAGGCCACCGAGGCACACTGCCGATCTAGGTGTTGGTGCCAACCTCCAGGCCTCCCAACAGATCCCTATCTCGAGCAGTGGCGAAGCGCCCTGGCTTGCCTATATAATGTTCTAAAAACAATTTGTGGTCTGAACGAGATGTTCTTAGAACCTTTCTGGCTGAGAACACGTCGGGCTTACTTTCTGAGAACATCGTTCGCAACACAATTATGGGTTCTGCGAACATTTCGCGGTAGGCCTCTGGGAATGCCGGGACGGGCGGTCCTCAGTCAAGTATCCACAGCCTTGCGGGCCAGGCCCCTTCTGACGGCGCTACGATGAGGATAAGTCCGTTCCAAAGCGTTCCTATCCGAGCGACCGCGTATCCACGGGATCGCGCCCCGGGATCCAGACCGCGACGGCGTGGACATGGATACGGCCGCGCCGCCCGCGAAGGACGTCGCGGAAGCCGTCGGGCGGGCAGCGCGTGGCCCCCCTGGACGAGGTCCTCTTGGGACGACCGAAGCGGGGGCGGAGGGAGTGGGGGAGAATCGAGCAAGACAAAAAGACAGCGGCACAAACTTTTGGAGCTCCGCGCAGGTGGGGAGGGAGTGGGGGCGAATCGAAGAAGAGAAAAAACGCATCAGCACAAACTTGTTGGAGCTCCGCGCAGTGCGCCAGGCTGGGGGGTCCAGCGCCGATCTGAGAAGTCCGCGCGGACCTCCCAAAGTTTATGTTTATGTCTCTTGTCGTCTCGTTCCTCCTAGCGAAGACCCGCAGCCGCTCCTGCCGAATCTGTTGGCGGGGCTCGATGTCGACGTCGCCGCGGACGCTGCCCAATGGAGGCCGAAGGTCGCCTGCCCGACAGCGGCCGCTGTCGGTTTAGACCTCATATTTGCTGCTGGGCATCGTGCCCGTGCTTTCCGAAACCCGCTTGTGGCGTGCCACACGAGGTCTCCTCCGCGCTCTTCCACGCGGCCCTGAACGGGAGCAGCGAGGACTGCGTCGACGTCCTCAACGCCGGCGCCGACATCAACGTGCGCTCCAACGCCGACATGGACGGCCTCGGCAAGGGCGCCACCGCCCTGCACGTGGCCACGTCGCGGGGGCACGAGGACGCCGTGGCCACGCTGCTCCAGCGCCGCGCCGACCCGACCCTCACGACAGGGCGCAACGAAGCGCCCGTCCAGATCGCGGCGCGGCTGGGCCACGTGGGCATCGTGCGGCTGCTGAGGGTCGTCGGCGCCGCGCCCGCCGACGCCGAGAGCGCGCTGCAGTTGCTGAGCACCGCGCCAGCCCACGACGACCGCAAGAGGCGCAGGATGCACGCCGCCCTGGACCCATACGGGAGGGACGGGGGTAGGCCTCCGCAGCGGGCGCCCCCTCCGCCCGCCATCGCCGACGGCGACGGCCGCGGGGGCGAGTGGGACGCGCCAGAGGCAGCGCACCCGAGCGCCTCGGACGGTTGCGGCGCCAGGGACGGGAAGAGCCGCGGCAGGGGCAAGGACGGCAAGGGCAAGGAGGGCAAGGGCAAGGACGGCAAGGGCGGCCATGGCAAGGACAGCAAGAAGCCTCGTGCGCGCACCAGGGCCAGAGGAGACAAAGGTGCCGGCAAGGGCAGCGCGGATGGCTGACGGGCGGACTAGCCACGCTAGCTATGAAGTGTCTGCCAGAAAGAAAACACAGATGAGCCGCACGACCAAAACATGTTATCAGAAACCGCGCTGGGGCCTCCCTGCGGGGTGTGGGTCGACCGTGGTGTTGTGCAGGTCTGCTCGGCGTGAGGCTGACGCTGCCACTCGGGTAGACCGCTTCTCTTGGGATGTCCTGAGTACATGTGTCTATCTTCACAGACTCATGGACACCACATGCTGGCAAACGTACCACTCGGGCCGCCCAAACTATTGGCGGGCGAAGATAGGTACCGCACGGGCCCATGTGGGACAAACTCGTTGGCAGCGTATGGGTCGGACGTGTGTTTTGGGACGTGTCGGTGACTCTCTTGAGAGCCTCGTGGTTGTCACCAAATGCTAGCTGCTAGTGCCCTGGGGCGGGGGGACCCAGGGTGTGGCGTAGGTCCGTTGGGGAAGGGCTTGGTGGTCGTCTTCGGGCGAAAGCCAACCCGGCGAAAGCCAGCCCCGGCGAAAGCCAACCCCCGGCGAAAGCCAACCCCGGCGAAAGCCAACCCCGGCGAAAGCCAACCCCGGCGAAACGAAGCCCGGCGAAACGAAGCCCGGCGAAACGAAGCCCGGCGAAACGAAGCCCGGCGAAAGCCAACCCCGGCGAAAGCCATCCGTGCCGGCGGGGGGACCCAGGGTGTGGCGTATGGTCCGTTGGGGAAGGGCTCGGTGGTCGCCTTCGGGCGGGATGTGTGCCTCTCGAGTGCCGGCAGGCGACGCGCTCGGAGATCCTGCCAGGGGTATGGAACGGGTCCGTTCGGGTCGCAGTCTGTGGTAGCGTTCGCGTGTCCAGCGCGCTCTGGGACGTGCGTGCACCGGGGGAAAGTAATACAGAGCGTGAATTACCTACCCCGCTTTCGCTCCCAGGCAAAACCAAGTCATACCACGCGCCTCCTCGTCACGCGGCCTGACCAGTACAGGCTGCAATTTGGCATCGTTTGGTATCTCTTGGAAGCGAGGGTGGTCAAAAGCGAGGGAGGTTTGTTTTCCCCCTAATTGAACGGGTCCGTTCGGGTCGCAATCTGTGGTAGCGTTCGCGTGTCCAGTGCGCTCTGGGACGTGCGTGCATCGGGGAAATCACCACCTACCAAACCACCCCAACCCAACCCGAAGGCCTCAATTTGCCCTCCATTTCCAGTGGGGGGGGGGTCGGGGAACGTTGGAAAAACACGTGGAACCCGTACCCCCCCCAACCCGAAGTTCGGGTCAAATTCGGGTTTTCGGGTTGGGTTGGGGTGGTCTGGTAGGTAGTCAGGAAAAGTAATACAAGAGTTCGCCAGAACTCGGTTTTGCCGACGCTGTTTGACGAGCCCGTCCTGGATTTGACGGTCCAGTTTTCGTGGGATGCTTGCTGCGGGAGCTCGCGTCAAATTTCAGGTTGTGTCTCGTCATTTTCATGTTGGCCCGTCAAGCCAATCCGAGTCGCTCCGTGAGCGCGAGTTCCGCGTGTGCGAGTTGCGTGTGTGTGTGTGTGTTTGTGTTTGTGTTTGTGTGTGTGCGAGTTCCGTTCCGTGCGAGCTCTGCTCTTTGCGAAGTCCGCCCCGTGCCAGTTCTGCCCTTGCGAGTTTCGCTGCGTGCGAGCACCGTCCCTTTCGGAATGAGAGTGTTTTTGGTTTACCATCCGGGCCAGAACGCGCGTTATGCCCCCTACCCTCCCTTCCCGCCCCTCCACCCCCCTGTAACGTAACGCTCCCCCCTCCAATGCGTCCCCGGCACTGCCGCCGTGCGTCCGGCACCATAGTCTGGGGGGGGCGGGGCACGCGACGTGATGCCCACTCCCGTCCCCGCCCCCCCCTCCACCCCTGCCCCTCCACAACGCCCGTCATGGCCGCCAGTATAGAAAATGCGCTCAATCTGTGGGGGCATCGAGCGCGGATCCCCTCCCCGCCGTGCCGCGCACGGTGCGCGGGCGCTGCAGGCGTGGGAGCCCGGCTGGGGCGCCTCTCCTGGGGCCTCGCCTTCGATCCCGCTCGGGGCCTCTGCTGTTTTTTTTGTTTTTCGCTGTGGGCCATGGAAGGGTGCAGCTGTGGACGACGATCACTGGCGAGGAAACGTGTTGCCAAATCATGTCCAGATGTTTCAAACATGTTTTAGACATGTCTTAAACATGTAGAAGACATGTTTGGAACATGTTGAGAACATGTTTCACATTTTAGACACTTTTTCATTCAATGCTCGGATTGTTTGAGTGTCCTTTGTCATGGCATCCACAAGGGTACAATCAACCAGCATAGCAAAGATGGACAACCTTTCCAAGGGTACCCTTGCGTGCTTGCCTCCTCGGTCCATTCTTGGCCACGTTCGCTGGCCGCGCCCCGCTCGAAAAGCTTCGACGTGGCCTTCCAGGGCCCTTTGCATCCTTATCGTGCGTCCTTATGATGCGCAATGGCTGTGGAGTGGAGACGCTGAAATGGGGACCGTTTTGGGTTCGGAAGGGGCCCACTGTTCCTCAGGTCATTCCGTGGTCGTTCCTCCAGCCCTCCTCGTGCACACCTCGTGCACAAAGGCGCTGCTGGCGCCAACAAGTGGCTTCGTTCCTTATTCTGCGTTCCTTCTGATAGTACCTCGACTGTAGACCGATGCCCAGGAAGGCCCACTGGAACCTGGTTCGTGGGAGCCGCCAAAGGAGGCTTCCTCGGCCACGTCGAGCCATCGCAGAAAACCACGGGCCTGTCTTGGAAGGCCCGTTGGGTCATGTGGAATGCCATCCTCAGGGCCATACACAGGACGGCCACTTTTTTTCACACGGGGTGGGTGGCAGGCAGTGATCCTCGTAGTTCCTCTAGCGCGACATCGAAGAGTGGACTCGCGCGCGCGCGACCTGTTACACGATTGCAGAATCCGTCACGGTTCTGGTTCATTGGGCCGCCGATTTCGTGCGCGGAACGTGGCCGAGCGCACGCTCGATTACATGCCTCGACGTTTCAATACGAAGCGTTCCCTTGCTATCTGGCTCCCTGGCCCTCTCGCTCGACGCTCGCACGTCGCAAGGTGACACCTGGCGATGACGAGCTACAGGAGCAGCACGATCTCGTGGACGAGGATCTGTGGTCTGGCGGGGTGCAGGCAGCTGCCTCTTACCATGTGAGAGGCGCAAGAAAACGGGGTCGTCTGCGCTGATGCTGGCGCGTAAGCTTCCCGCGTAAGATAGCACGTAAGCGTCTTCGTTTCCGATGCAGCGTGCCGCGTTGGCGGCCAGCGTAATCAAACCATTGCGTAAGGTTGCTATGTCATCTCGCAGAAGGCCAGTTTTTTTTCGTCGCCCAAGTGTCGTAGTTCCCAAACAGTTTGTCCGGAAAAGGTTCTATGTAAGGTTTACACGAAGCTAGTAGGAGCGTTACCAGATCCGGAGTCGGTCGGGTGACGTGGTTTACCGTTGTCTCTCGTTGCCTTTGTTTTGCTCCCGTGGCTTCCCGCTGTTTCCCGTGACATTAACTTTCATGTTCGTATTCGTGGGAGCATTCGCACGGTTGCTCCTACTCGTCATCGCAATAGTGATTGCAATCGTGACAGCATTCGATCTTTCATGTGCATGGTGCAAGGGTGGTATTTTTCAACAGGGCATTTGTACTCGTACACATGGTATCCTTAGTGCTTGCCAAGTTTCAATATGATTTTAGTGCGTCGCCAAATCCAGGACCTGTCGGGCAACGTTGGTTCCCGTGGCCTCCCGTAGCCGTCCTTGTCCGCATTCCTGTCCCTTTTCCTCCACCAGTATTCTTTCAATATTTCTTACACTATATCCCCATCCCGATCTTAATCCGTATATCCTTGTCCCTTGATCCCTACCCCTATTTCCCCATCCCCGTTCCTACCCTGATCCCCCCCATCGAGAGACCTCCCACCGTGGCTTCCATTGTGACTGTGCAAAGCTGTTCAGGGTCTTCTGCCGCAAGGGTGCCTTTGATTCGCGGGCGTGTGCAAGTCCTTAGTTTTTATTGAAAGCGCGGGGATTGTTTCTTGTTACGTCTTACGCTCTAGAATTAGGTCTCGACCAGAACGTTCTCTACAACAAAAGACGGCACTTGGGAATTTTGTCGCCAGGCAGGCGGCATCGTGAGACCTGGAAACATATACCTCAAAGCCAGAGCGGGAAGGAAACGAGCACATGGGCCACGAGCCGATCTCGGATTGGAGTGTTTCACAAAAGCGACGCCCAACACGGACAGAACACGTCGATTTTGAAACGGGCCGAATTAAAAAGAAGCGCCCCACGCGTTTTAAGATCATGTGAGCGCATGGCGACGATGGCTCCGAATGAGATGCAGGGCGTACTTGGATGGATTTTGGAAGTGAACATGGGCAGACCAGGGCGTTGTGTCCGTCGGTCGCGGTCGCCCTCCCCTCTTCCTTCTCAGCGGCCGCGTTCTTTTGCCCCCGCCCCGCTTGTGTCCAATTAGCGTCCCAGCGTCCCCGTGTAGGCTCCGACCTCAGTGGTTCTTGGAAACGGCAGGGCCGTTCTCCTACCGTTTTCGAGAAGCTTGATCTTGACAATGGGACGGTGCACCAACGGCCCGCCGGAACGGCAACAGAACACGGCTCCAGGACTGAAGCGGGAGCCAGGACCGAACACACATTTTAACGGAGCCGAGCCGTATCAGAAAGGCGCTGGAGCCGGGAAAAAAACGGCAGAACTAAAAGAACAATAAAACACGGCCCCGTGGTTTCGAAGCACCAGCAA